CGGATTCTATCAGGCCTTCTGGCTGTTCCAAGGGGCCAGGTATGTTTTGCTCCTGCCCCGTTTGTGAGGTAACAGCTTTCAGGTGATCCACGTGTTTGTTCCAGACTGTATCACCTACCCAAACTTTGTAAGTGATGTGACCTCGTATCAACCTCACCTTGTACCCGTATGGGGTAATTCCCATGGATCCAACACCAAACTTTGTACCCTGAATTAAATTGTCTCTCTCAATTAGAGGAGGTATGTGGCTAGCATTAGCTTTCCTGCTGCTGTTTCACCCTCCCTCCCCAGGTCTGGAAATATCGAGTTTAACCTGGTGTGGAGTCTCCTCCCCATCAGCAACTCCGCTGGAACTATTTCTGTTATTGGTTTCGCTAGGACAGGATCTTCTTATGTTCACAGTGGGATATTGTCAGCAGTGACTGGAACGGTGTCCAGGAAGTTTAAAAACAAAATGGTCTCTTCCAGGGGAGACACCACCGGTGGACTATCTGCCAGTGGGAGGCAGCTCATGCTGTACACACTGAGAATAAAGGTCCAATGCTGAATTCTACCAGAAGCTATGGGCGGCAGCATCTTGTCTTCCTTCAGGTAGTCCTCGCAGGGGTTTGTGATCTGTTAGTCTGACAAATTTCTGTCCATAAAGGTACTGGTGGAACTTCCTCACACCAAAGAGGACTACCAAACCTTCCTTCTCTACCTGGGCACATCTGCGTTCGGCATCAGCCAAAGTCCGGGAAGCATACACTATCAGGCGTTCCTCTCCGTTGGGCTACTGGTGAGCCAACACTATCCCGATACTGTATGGGGTTACATTGCATGTCAGCACTACCTCTCGCTTTAGATTGTAGTGGGCAACACCTTAGATGACGATAGCTGCTTTCTCACTTCCCTCAAGGCTACTTCTTGGCTACATGACTATTTCCAAGACTGATGCTTTCTCAATTGCAGGTGTAAGCATTCCAAGACAGAGGCCAGATTACATATGAATTTTCTGTAATAATTCACTAACCCAAGGAAAGGCCTAAGCTCCAGTACAGACATAGGAGCCAGGGCTCCTTTGATCACCCTCACTTTCTCTTCTAACAGATGTAACCTGGTTTTGTTGACTCTGTAACCCAAGTAGGTCACTTGGGGCACCTGGAATACACATTTTTCCCTTTTAAGGCATATGCTTGCCTCAGAGAAATGTTTAAGTGCTATGTCCAAGTTCTTCAAGTGCTTTTTATTGGTCTTCCCTGTTATTAGTACATCATCCACATAAAGGGCAACCTGGTGTAGCCTTTGTAAGATGTTCTCCATTGTCCGCTGGAAAAGGGTACAAGCTGATGATACCCCAAATGGCAGTCTTGTATATTGGTATAAACCCTTATAGATGTTAATTGTGGAGTACTTATGGAGGTTCCCATCCAGTTGCAGATGCAGGTAGGCGTAGCTCATGTCCAGCTTCGTAAAGGACAGCTTCCCCCAGCTAACTTTGCGTACAACTCCTCTATGCAAGGGATCAGGTATTTATCCAGCTGTGAGAAGCGGGTTACCATTTGCTTAAAATCCCCATAAAAGGTGAGCTGACCCATCAAGCTTCACAACTGGTATGGACTGGTGCAGCCCATTTTGCAAACTGCACTGGTTTGATGATTCCTTCACTCTCCAGCCTTCAGATTTCTGCCTCTACTTTTGTCCACAAGGCAAATGGCACTTGGTGGGTCTTGCAAAACTTTGGACTTGCTTCCTGGTCAACATGTAAAGTGGCTTTGGCCCTCTTGATAGTACTAAGCCTTTCCTGAAAACTCCTGGGTATTTCACTAGGACCTCACTGAGATAGTCATTTTCTAACTCAATAATGTTGAACCCATCCAGGTGAATCTTTCTTAACCAATTCTGCCCCAATAGGCTTGGGCCCGAGCCTGATACTACTATCAGTGGTAACTGCACCAACTGCTTCTCTTAGGAGACCGGAACCGAAGTTGTACTGTTAATCTGCAACGGTTCCCCAGTGTATGTTCTCAGTCTGGATGAGTTCTTGCGCAAACTTAAGGGTAGAATTCCTGACCGAATTTTGTTAAAGATAGCTTCTGCAACCACAAATACAGCTGTGCCAGTATGGACCTCCATGGGAACTGCGTGACCATTTAACTAGACATTAATTTTAATTGGTTCTGATTTGGATGTCGCAAAGTAATTTAATTGTTCCAACCCATATGTATGGGGACTTTTGAGGGTGTGCACTCTCCTGGGTACTGGCGTACAAGTTTTCTTACTCAAGTCAGGCCTTGTAGGACTCCTTTGCTGTCTTGAATCTACATAACGGCAGCAACTATAATGCTTTGCTGGCCCAGATCTTAAAGAAGTTTTTAGCCACTCGGCTGAGGCTTGGCTTTGTTGTGACGTTCTGCTGTGGGCTGGCATAGGGCGCCTCTACTCAGAATATACCCTGCACGAGGCTCTGCAATTGCCTATGCTCGAGAGGTGTTCTCCAAGCTTAGTTAGACTGGTGAGAGTCTCCACATCCATTGGAATACCCTGTAGCTCCCATCTTCCACCTGCTGCATTTTCTAATGACAGAGCCAGTTGTAGTCCCTTTTTGAAGTCCAGTTGGGCTTCAGCTAGTAGGCACTTCTGCATGGTTACATCGTCAATCCACATGCCAAACGGTTTCTCAGCATCTCATTCAGGGTTAACCCAAAATCACATGCCTCTCAACCTTGTCAGAAATCCCAGTACACATTCCCCCCGTTCTCTAGCAGTCGAATAAAACTGATAGCGTCTCAGAATTAGAGGAGGTTTGGGGCCAATAATATTCCTTAACCAACTCCATCAAATCTTGGAAGGTTTTAGTGTCTGGTGCCTCTGGGAATGTTAAGCTCCTCATAACCCAAAATGCTGCAGGTCCGTAATCAGTTTGAAGGATTACTTGTTGCTTTCTGTCTGCCCCAATGCCATTTGCCTGGGAAAAAACGTTGTGTTCTTTCCACATACTAGGCCCAGTCTTCGACAGCAGGATCAAACAAGTCAAGCTTCCCAAATAAAGGCATGATGCCAGAAATGCTTACCTCAACTCCAAGATGACTGTTGCAAGCAAATGTTCTTCAGGCACATCCAGTTTTCTCCTGTCGCCACTATAATAACTGCACAGAGGCCTGTATCCCTTCACTAAGTCATACTTTATTTACTTGTGCACAGTACACTGGCTGTGACCAGCCAGCTAGGAGTATGTCCCCTGAACTGAGGAGACTCTAAATTTCCTGTTTATATATTTTTTCTTTTGTTTTCAAAAATCAACCTCCCTCCTCCACAGTACACTGCCTGTGGCCAGCCAACTCCGATTCAATCCTCAATGGAGGAGATTCTAATCTCTTGGTTATGTCGATCAGCCATGGTTTTCCTGATTAGCTCAGGTTAACAACCCCAATGAAGAATTGCATAGTCAACGAGATCCAGCTGGTTCCAATCACTACAGAGGTGCCACTATAAGTTCCCTCATTGTTTGTTTAAAGTGTTGTGCCAGGTTGGGAGGGGTCAGAGAGGAAGAAATTCTTAATGGTCCCTGCTGGAAAATTGCATGGAAACTGGTGGAGCACCAGACTGGACTTGGATATGATGCTATCTATAAATTCATAACCTAAGGATGGTCTATTTAAGCTCATACTTTAGTAATAGCCAAGTGCATGGATTGTACCTATGGAGCAAATATCCCACACAATTTAGCATTAGAGTTTGTACAAAGAAATCAGAGAAATCAAAGAAAAACAAAACCAACAGAGCATAGTTGGTCCATCAAGGAAAACCACCAATACTGGAAATCTGAAAAAGAAGCATATTCACTTAAAAATTTGTGGTACTCGTTTGTGAAATGGGAACTATAAGTACGTTAAAAGCTCATTGAGCATAAAGCACCTCTTTTAGTGGGTGCACTGGCTGTAAAACTAAAAACTGCTCTGCAGTTTCGAGCACCAGGTACTCAAGTACTGTTTGCATAACAAGAGCTGAAAGGTACTTTAATTATAAAGGAATAGACTGGGTGAAAAGCTCTAAATGCACTTTGTTGTCTAAGTAAATTGATCCTCGCCCTTCTTTTCTTTCCCTTTTACAGGCAAGTACATGTTCTGAGGGGCTCCAGGATATAAAATACAAAGAGCAAAGAGAATAAGTTCATAGTTCTGGCTATTAAGCCACTGATTGTAAACTTTGCAGTCAGTGTTTCAAAAATGAGTGCTAATTATGTAGATATGATGCTAAATGAAAAAATGCATTGTATAAACACCAAACATAATGATTGCTGTGGCATTGTTCTTCAGAACCTAATATTTGAAATATTTCTGCAGAATTAAAAGTGCCAGACTACTTTTATAGAGCAGCTGATGAAAGAAGTTTTCAAGAGGTAGTGGAGGAGATGGCAACAGGGTTGTTTACTTCATCCCTCAGGCACTGTCTTTTATTTCTTTCACAAGTATGGCTGTCACTGTTCAGAATGGAATTTGTTGCTCATCTCTGATTGTCCTTGGGAAAGGTGCTGGTGAGCTTCCTCTTGAACTGCCGCAATCCATCTGGTGCATGTACACCCTGGGACAGGAATTCCTCCATTTTGATCCTGTGACAGTGATTGAACAGCATTATAGTTCCAGTTAGCATGGCATGAGACTTGGAAGGGCTGGTCTGTTACATACTCTGTGGTATTTTCCCTTTACCAACATAATCTGTTTATTGCTGTCGGGTTGATATCAATGTCCTGGTTAAAGTTTAGTTGTGTGTGGTCTGATACTTTTGTATGTAGTCCCTTTAATTATTTTTGCGCAACAGTGCACAAATTACCACAGAACAAAGTCAGCATGGTACCTTCTAGGCTTAAGCATATTTTAACAGGAACATTGGTTCACAATGTCCAAATCATTTCACTTGGGCCCACGACAGCCAAGGATATAGAATATTAACCCACACTATTGCATTTCAAAACTGGGAAATTAACTCAGTAAGGAAAATAAATCTCAAGAGAAACTGAGTCTTGGAGAAGAGCAAAATCATAATTTATTCTATGGTCAAACTGGCATTCAAGTCAGACAATCAGTACAGACATCAAGTAGTTTTTGGAACATAATTGCAATAGAAATGTTTTCATCCAGTCTGGTACTAGATTCCTACTGACTTAGCAGTAGGTAGCCATCCATGGATTCTTCCACATCTTGTTTACAATCTGGATTAAAAAAACAGAATGTGCTGGAAATATTCAGCAGATCAAACAGCATCTGCGAAGATGGAAGCAAAGTTAATGTTTGAGATTGCTGACATTTCATAAAAAAATCTGTCTGGATACAACACACTGTGCAGCAACCACCATCAATGAGACCACAATCAATACAAACTTAAGATCATCAATTTGGCCCCAACTCTCCTTTGCTTCATTTGAAACAGAACCTGATCTAATCTGCAATTAAAATCACTGTCTGACAGTGATTTAGGTTCTGGAGGAAATGTTCATTAATGTCTTCAATGTATTCATGAAGCTTTTGCTTATAAGTAGCAAATTTGCTGGGTTGGAATGAATCTATGCATTCAGCAGCTCCCCTGCTGAACACAAAGATGGGCTTTAATTAATATTAAAGGTTTTTGATGAACAATAAGCCATTCGCACTACGCCCTGAAATCAATAAGAATGATGTTGCTCTGAGCTGAATTAGTTTCTCTTACTATTCAAATTGCGCTGGGAGCACATTGGACATTAACAGATTAGAGCAGGACACACGTACAGGGTAGTTAACAACAACCAGACTGTTGGATGCACCTTATTTTAATCCATTTCCATGAAACTTGAATTGGTCTCACTTTTTTCTTTCCAAATTACGAGGAAGTTATAATTTCAACCATTGTAGTTAAAAAGGCTTTGTCATTTTAGTTTTCAGATTTGCTGTGAAAAAAATGACTGGCTAACGATCAAACAGGAATCTACAGAATATAAAAACAGTTGGATGGCTCCAATTTTTGACATGCATTATTGCAAAATTTTTGTGATTTCTGTTCTGCTGATTGAATAGTTAGGGCTGAAGAACCGTACAATTTCCTCTTCAGAGCTGTCAATTCAAACAAATATAATTGAAACCTATTTCCTCCAGATTTACACAGTACAGTCATTTTTATTGCTATATTTTCTCTTGAGTAACAGGTTAACTTGAACCCTTAACATCTGGTTATTTTGAACTTTATGACTTTGGAACATATTGGAACAAGTGGTTATTTCTGTTGATGCCTCATTATCAATCACATATCGTGAAGCTTCACATTCTGCGGGCCTTCCTTGGTCGGCAGCCATTGTGAGGAATAGGAGTGTTATCTGTGAGTGAAACCACCTGGAGGCCACCCATGCTTAATCCTTTTATGGCAGACTGCAATGAAAAATAAATAGAGGAAATTAGGAATACAGCGCTGAAGGCAGTACACACAGATCCTCAAACACACTTAAAACATATGAAAATTTTATCAAAAACCGTAAACTAAGCTTCCTGATAATTCAGTGAGTTCATATTATCAATAGCTCTTCAAAGAAGGTCCAAGGTTCTATCTAATACCTAGATCTCATCTGAGGTGGCAGTGGAAACATTAAATGGATACTGGTTCCACTGAGCTAGGAAGTGAAAGAAAAACCACCAGGTTACACCTCTTGAATATGATCCAGTGACCTCTGCTGGGAAGTGTATATGAGGTTATGTCAGGAGCAGTCATGATCAAATATGACGCTCACCAATGTTGTGTCGCAGGTTGCACTCAATGTCCCAGCTTCACAATGAAAAGTGTAAATGTATGTGAGGAATTAAAGGTCAATTGGAAGACATGGAACTGTACCCCAGTTAGAGTTAGTGCCTTCAGGACAGGAGAGAATACTAGATGGAGGAGAAGTGTACAAATGGACACAATGCAATACCAATTAACAATGAGATGTGGAGTAGCGTTAATGAGTAAATCAGACACAGAATGACATCATTAGAGACGTAATAATCGGTTAAGACTTAATATCAATGAGAGATGGGGGTAGTGATGACGTAGTGCTATTATTGTTGGACTACTGACCCTATCAAACTATTAATTCAGAGACCCAGGTCGAATCCCATGGTGGTGGAATTTGAATTCAATAAAAATCTGGAATTAGGACACTAATGACGGCTATGAAACAATTGTCAATTGTTAGAAAAACCTATCTGCTTCACTGAATTCCTTTAGGGAAGTAGAACATAGAACGTAGAACAGTACAGCACAGTACAGGCCCTTCGGCACACGATGTTGTGCCGACCTATTATCCTACTAAGATCAACCTACTCTGCATACCCTACATTTTACTATCCTCCATGTGCCTATCCAAGGGTCGCTTAAAAGTCTCTAAAGTATCTGACTCCACTACCACTGCCGGCAGCGCATTCCACACACCCACCGCTCTATGTGAAGAACCTACCTCTGACATCTCCCCTATACCTTCCTCGAATCACCTTAAAATCATGCCCCCTCGTAATAGTCATTTCTGCCCTGGGAAAAAGTCTCTGACTATCCACTCTATCTATGCCTCTCATCATCTTGTACACTTTTATCAAGTCACTTCTAATCCTTCTTCACTCTAATAAAAAAAAGCCCTAGCTCCCTCAACCTTTCCTCATAAGACCTGCCCTCCAGTCCAGGCAGCGTCTTGGTAAATCTCCTCTGCGCCCTCTCTAAAGCTTCCACATCTTCCCTATAATGAGGTGACCAGAACTGAACACAATATTCCAAGTGTGGTCTAACCAGAGTTTTATAGAGCTGCAGCATAACCTCACGGCTCTTAAACTCAATTCCCCTGCCAATGAAAGGCAACACACCATACGGCTTCTTTACAACCCTATCAACTTGGGTAGAAACTTTGAGGGATCTACGGACGTGAACCCCAAGATCCCTCTGTTCCTCCACACTGCCGAGAATCCTGCCATTAACCCCGTATTCTGCATTCAAATTTGACCTTCCGAAATGAATCACTTCAGACTTTTCTGGGTTGAATTTCATCTGCCACTTCTTTGCCCAGCTCTGCATCAAGCCAATGTCCTGGTGCAACCTACAACAGCCCTCTACGTTGTCCACAACTCCACCAACCTTTGTGTCATCGGCAAACTTACTAACCTACCCTTCCACTTCCTCATCCAAGTCATTTATAAAGATCACAAAGAGCAGAGGTCCCAGAACAGAACCCTGTGGCACACCACTGGTCACCGAGCTCCAGGCTGAATACTTTCCATCTACTACCACCCTCTGTCTTCTATTGGACAGCCAGTTTTGTATCCAGACAGCCAAATTTCCCTAAATCCCATGCCTCCTTACTTTCTGAATTAGCCTACCATGTGGAACCTTATCAAATGCCTTGCTAAAATCCATATACGCCACATTCACTACCCTACCTTCATCGATGTGTTTCGTCACATCCTCAAAGAATTCAATAAGGCTTGTGAGGCATGACCTGCCCCTCACAAAGCCATGCTGACTATTTCTAATCAAACTGTGCTTTTCCAAATAATCATAAATACTATCTCTCAGAATCCTCTCCAATAATTTGCCCACCACAGAAGTAAGACTGACTGGTCTATAATTTCCAGGATAATCCCTATTCCCTTTCTTGAACAAGGGAATGACATTTGCCACCCTCCAATCTTCTGGTATTACTCCAATGGACAGTGAGGATGCAAAGATAATTGCCAAAGGGGCAGCAATCTCTTCCCTTGCTTCCCGTAGTAACCTTGGGTATATCCCGTCTGGCCGTACCTATCCTCATGTTTTTCAAAATTTCTAGCACATCCTCCTTCCTAACATCAATCTGTTCGAGCATGTTGCTGTGCTTACCTGATCTGGCTACATTTGACTCCAGACCCACAGCAATGTGGTTGATTCTTAACTGCCCTCTGGGCATTTAGGGATTAGCAATAAATGCCACCAATATCCCAGGAATGAATAATAAAATTAAAGACACAGCAGCACCAGAGACAGAATAACCACCATTGAATAATATCCAAGGTAAAAACTAACATGACTGGAGTCCATTAGTTCCACCAAGGTCACTGAAATGCCATAAGCTAACAATACATGTAGCGTCATGTACCATGCTATGTGATTTCCTCTACCCCACCCTCAATCACTGTTGGACTTGGCACTGCAGATGGGAATGTCATAATTATAGATTCAATCCTGTATCGTGGTTCCAGGATAAAACTCCACCTATACATATACGTGGGACAGATGACCATAATGATTCGCAACCCATGTCAACTTCAAACTGCGCATACTAAGAATCCAAACATTGCATCACATGACAGACAGTTATATGGCAGGAAAGACAAGTTCCATATTGTATATGTGAAAAACATCAGGACATTTGAAATAATTTTATCTTTGCTTACTTATGTTAGGCATAGGAATTAATATTCCCTGGAAGAGAATATACTGCACAGGATCCATTTCAAACCCTGTCCTAGCTGTTTTTTTTGCTCTTTTAGACAGATAAAAATACAGGAAAAAAAAACAGAAGATCAAGGCCCATAAATCTAGCTGCAACTATAAATCTGAATAGTCTGCCTCCTCAATTTTTCTTTCTATCACAGTCTTAATATTCTCATGCCAACACACCCACAGGGAATTTGATAAACACTGGGAGCAAATTATTAAAAGATAATTGTGACTATACAATACAAATCCCTAAAGCAGAACAAGCACTGGCATAACCATGATGGGCTAAATAGCCTCCTCCTGTACTGAAATTTCTATAATGCATAAGGAGCAAACTCCAGTAATTATCCCAATCAGTTATACCAGCAAGTGAGAGAAAATCAAGTGTTTAAAGAATTAAAGTCAGAAGAAGAGGCTAAAACTCAGCATGGAGACTAACACCAATAAGACAGTCTAATGTCATCAGCAGATGCAACATCAGATCTGGTTTTCCAAATAAATATCCCTTGAGATTAATTTGCTAAGAATTAATCTCTGGGATAATAATGAATTCTGAGAAGGTGTCTGAGGGATGCAAAGATTTTTTGAGGCATCAGGGAACAGGCTTGTTAAGCTAAAGGCATTTGCTTGCTTAATTTTTTTTTACAGTAAACTTTTCCTCCTCAGGTGGCAGAAGTTAACCTATTTCAGCAATCTGCCTTATGACATGGGTGATACTGGTTAACTGCTGTTGTGATTCTTTGCCCTTCCTGAATAATCTGCAATTTCTTATGTTTATAATTTTAATAATTTTAGTGAAAGCATAAATAAGTGAATATATAGACCACAGGAAGTGCCCCTCACAAGAAACACATCTAAGGACTGTTTCAGTAATGGTCTCATTTCATTAATAATAAACATTTATTTGAAGAACCAATGTGAACCAATCTTTTGTTTCCTTAATTGTCCTGTTTACCACCCCTTACAGCCATGAATCCTTAGCACTGTGGTTGGTTAATCACTCTGGAAAAATAATAAAATTATGATACCAAATGTACAGGCAACCCATGTTGGTAGGAATATTTTGTTTAGCAAGCTGACTGCTTTTCTGGGTGACTTGATTGACATTATTGTGCACGGGATCTTATACTGGACTGGTAACTGGTAACCAGCGCTCTGGATTAATATTAATGATGAGTTCAAATCTTATCAGGGCAGTTTGAGAAACTGTATTTGATTTAAAGATGCTTGAAACAAATTAAAACAAAAACAATTCTTTAGGAAAGGGAACCCAAGCCTGTTTTGATCTGTGTCTGATTCTCCCACACCAATACGGCTTGCCCCCCATTTTCTTCTGAAGTAGCCCAGAAACATACCTCAGTGGCTACTTTCTATGAGGATACAGTTGCCAGTAATGCCCATATTCTAAAGGTTAATGCTGAAATAAATGAGGATATGAATCAAAATCAGACTGATGGGAAGAACGTTTCTTCTTGGCGAACTATGAAGACTTTCTCAATCTGGTTGTGGTGAGAAGTTTCCCTAGTGCAGACACCTGCCTGACCCACTCCTGACTAATGTTTGATGCTGTCACTCTATGGTATACATGAAAACGATTCCATCATGCAGCGTTATCATCCTTTGCCTAAATAAGCACAAAGAAGTCTAGGCAGTAAGTGCTGAACTATATTCATCCAAGATAAGTTTCATTACAAAATCCTAGGTATTCACTCTTTTCAATGTAGAACAAGCTTCTAAATATCTTGGCTGTTGTCTAGTCAAGAACAGATATGTAGAGTTAATGCTGCATATTATTGTCTATTGTTGCAGACTGCAATGAGTGTTTCAGAACAACAGATTATTTAAATATATAGCAACAGCTTGCAGAACAAATATACATGGTGATCTCATCTGCTAGTGAAATGTCTTCCTTCACACTGGAGCTGTTGCATGAGACACACAAGGGTAATGTCAATGAAGAGATGCAAAGGGATCAGCAGGATCCATTTCAGCAACTGAACCCTGTAACTCACCAGCCTGCCAGGTCCCAAACCCTTCACCACCACACGCACAAAGGATATTCCTTGATCAGTTGCTTTCTGCCAACAAGACAAAAAACATGAATATTTTGTTTAGGATTTTGTTTTACAGGTAATGATAATGCTTTAAAGTGTGTTATTTCTTACTTTTTGTAATTTATTCATAGAATCCCTACAGTGTGGAAACAGGCCCTTTGGCCCAACAAGCCCATACCTACCCTCAGAGATTCCCACCCAGACCCATTCCCCAAACCCACCTAATCTACACATGGTCAATCCACCTAGGCTGTACATCTTTGGATCATGTGTGGAAACAGGCTGTTCGGCCCAACAAGTCCATGGTGACCCTCGGAGCATCCCATCCAGACCCATTCCCCTATAACCCACCTAAACTACACATTCCCGAACACTATGGGCAATTTAGCGTGGCCAATCCACCTAGCCTGCACATCTTTGGACTATGGGAGGAAACTGGTGCACCCAGTTGAAACCCATGCAGGATCAACTCCACACAAACAGTCGCCTGAAGGTGGAATCGAACCCGGGTCCCTGGCGCTGTGAGGCAGCAGTGCTAACCACTGAGCCACCGTGCCGCCCCATTCTACTCTCCCTCATTACTGATGCCACCTCTTTTTGCTCCCATACAACCACTCTGTATTGTGCTAAAAACAGATCTTGAAATAATTTCACCGATTTTTCTCTAATGCTAAGCAATCTGTCATTGTCTGCTTAGTTCAGGTGGTAGCACAAAGCCCCATCTGGTGATTAAAAGGTCTCATAATACTGTTTGAAGGGCAAGATCATTTTCATGGTATCCACTTGGTTGTAAGTGGATTGCCCTCACTGCGATTTCCAGCATCAGCTTGATAACAAAATTAATGGCAAGCTTTGGGCGGTATGAACATCTTAGATAGGGAGCTCACTGTTCAAATAGGTACTTGGTGCTAACAGGCCAAGGTTTAAAAGGCCTGCAGCTGTGTAAAGAAGGCAATACACATAAATATTGTTCAGCCAGGAGATTTAAAATTTTAATTCTCAAAGAATGTCTGAGAGATCTGCATGAAGACACAACACGATGTGATTCACTGATGAAGCAGATTTAGGTTGGGCCAGAATACTGTCAGTTTCAAGGAAATCAGAACAGCAATACGACAGTTAGTGTCAATGTGACCTTAGCTTCCGTGCTGGAGCTTACACATTTTATGATAACTGTTGTTAAGCTGTTTTTGTACTTCTTATGTGTATTTCAAATGACTGTCTTTCTTAGTTAAAACTATTCTTGGAAGAATCATTTTAGCAGTTAACAAATGAACAAAAGACATTCAGTACTCAAAAAAGTGAATCTAGTCTGTTCCGTCTCAGTGATGTGTGCCAGTGGCAAAACACTTGTTTTAGCTGCGTTTTTCTTAAAGTACAGTTCACTGCTGTTGTAACCAATTTACTTTGAACATTCTCCTTTTAAAAGAAGTTGATTGCATGTGAGCAAATTAAGGAGTTAAACTTATATGTTGAAGAAATTCATACACCATTAAATCTGCCAGAGAAACCTGACACAGGAAATGTTGCAAAAAGTAAATACACATACACTATTTTTAAAAAAAAAACCTATAGATTTAGTTACCAGTGAGTCATCCATAGGGTGCTCAGAGCAAATCAGAGCATGTGTTATTATCGACCAGAACTAAGATCGTATCAATGCGTATGTTACCTTAAAACTACAGGAAGTCTGAGTGAATTGATTCAGACAGTAATTGATGTTGAGGCCGGAGATCAGATCCCAGACTTGGTTTGTAATTAAGAGTCTGTAGATATTGTTGGATCTAATATTGGGTGTTCCAGGAGAGTTTTCTCCACAGCGTAAGTGACTGCTTTTGCTTAACCCCAAGACAGTTAATGAAAGTGTCAGGTCTAGTGTTTTGTTGTTGAGAACACAGATGAGATTGAGTGAAATAAGCACAATTTTCTTTGATTGTTTACTTGGCATCTATAAAACAAAGCAGCTTAATAATTCTTATTTGACTCTGTCAGTCAATCTTCAGAAAGACACTTCAGGGCTTGGGCAAAAGACAAGCAACTCAGTTTTATTCAAACAGGGAGTGGGTGGGTCCTACTATTGTACCCTTGGATTTCAGTACGGTAAAATTACATACGAAGCAGTATTGAATACACTCATAGACATTAGGCACACCCCATTATTGTACTCAGGAGAACATGTATTACAGACCCAAAACTTGTAGCAATAGGTATAGATATATATAAAACAATATTTCATTTTGTACTGTTTGTGTGTGTATTTTTGTTCTGTTAATCCGTGAGTATATGGTAATAGCACACTCTGCTGGAGCTACTCTTTAATGTGCAATATTAAACATACAGTGAGGTGTGTGTGTAAGGGATACGTCTGTAAATAGTGACAATTTCCCAGAATTTCCATGCAAATTCACAGACTCCCTTATCCAACTTTCAAAGCAAGAAAAAAATGCAGTATTAACATATAGAACTTGAGATAACTGGCTACTAAGTAAACATGCATTGAAAAATCTATGCTTTACACCAACTGTAAGTCATAAATAGCAATGAGTTTCACTTTTTTTGCAGTAATGTTAAAGCATTAATTAAAACAGATTGTACAGCTAAAATACAAATGCTGTGAGGACTTAATAAATTGAATATTTATGACAAATAAAATGGTAATAGCAATATTAAAATACTGCAATATTTGCAGAAAATTTTGTAAGTAATATAAAATGAATGTATTACACTGGAAAATTAGTTAGTGAGGCTTAACACGTTATCACATAAGAGACACCATTGTAGGAACAGCATAAACCTAGATGCTGCAGACAAGAAAGCAAGAAAAGGTCTTTCCACTGATCCAGCTCACTGTCTTCCATGTGGTATTTTGAGGGATGCTCTAGGCAAAGTTTTGAAAAAACTAGCAATGGAGCCTTTCACTTCATCAAAAAATATTTATCATGCTCTTACCAAAAAAAAAACAGAAAAGCAGAAACAAAGAATCCATTTCTAAATTAAACTAATTATGTGTAATTGTGGACTCTTCTCATATTTCCATCTGAATAATGACAAATCTGAAAGGGTTTGCAATGAGATCTTGAACAATCATATGTTTTTATTGCAAGAGATTAAGGCACCATTATAACCACCCACTCAAGTTAATCCTAGTCTTACTGCAGATGATTAGGATGACCTGTCCAGCATCACATTTCATTTCAGTTTAATTCTTTGCCACCTGACAATGTTTTCTTGCGGCTTCTCTGGTACTCTGCAATCATCTTACATTTTAAGATTGTTATGCTTTGTTGCTGGTAGTCAACAGTGAGCAGAATGCCTGCAAATTGATGGGGTTAGTTCACAGAATATTTGTTCATAGCGAACTCACAGATTTGGGCTCATTGGGGTTTTGGGGGAAACAAAGATGTGAAAGGAAACTCAACATGGAGAGATAAAACTGGTCCTGCGTGCCTTTAACAGCATGGTGAATTGATGTCTGGCAGCTAATAAAGTGAGTTGTTTTTAAACTGACTGTGCACCTGCATTGGGTGGATACAATGAGAATTGCACTTCATCCTCTCCAGAGGCTAACCCGTCCACACCATTCTCTGCAGCTTGAGATAACCATGTTCAGGACCATGGACAGATACAAGAAGATCAGGATGCACTTAAAGAATCTACCAAGTTAACAATATCACAGAACCGTGAGTGGTTAAATAACCCTAGACTGCATGCCATCATTAGTTATCTCTCAATCTGTTGCATATTTGCAGCTCACAGAAGCAATTCCCCAGACAAACTTGTAGTCTCTTTATTGCATCTCACACGAGTCAAGGATAAGCATTAATGCTGAATGTTTGTGTTGAACAACCAATTTACATGTTGTAATATCCATGTAGTTCAAAAACAACACATTCAATATTCAAGGTGAAAATGTGTAATTATTGCTGATACAAGGTTGAACATGTTGGTTAGCCACAATCTGTCACAGTGAAGATCCTTCAACATTACTAGCACCTCAGGACTAACCTTTTGCTTATGCAGGATGACACAATGCAGGATGAAAGCCTCTATGAAATGTCTGTTACAGAGGCATATCTGCTCTGCCAAGGCACAAGTAACCATAATTGCACTTTGAGACGTGCCTCATGTTTAACCGTGACTTGGGACAGTTCACAGACATGGGCAGACCCTCATTCGCACAGAGTTAGAAAATACCTCATGTTCCAACTCAAGTGAAAGCAAATTTCCCGTCCTTCAAATTGAAGATGCTGAAATAGAGTTTAACTCCCTACAACAATACAAGAAAGCAAAGACTGACCAAAAACAATTAAGGGCAACAGAAACCCAAAACAGACCTAGATATGCTGCACCTGCCAAAACAAATAAAAAGAAACTCCTCCACAAGAACATCATTAACATTCATAAAGTGTGGTTTGAAAAGTACCAAATCTGAGGGATTGCAAAATTGAGTGAGTAGAAAGGGTAGTGGAAAGCTTTCCTCTCCACATTTTTAAGCACTAATTCTTTCGTGGGATATGGACATCACCGCAAGGCCAGCATCTGTTGGCCATTGCTAACTGCTCTAGAACTGAGTGACTTGCTAGGCCATCTCAGGGGGCAGTTAAAAGTCAACCAAATTGCAGTCCACATTCATACCATTGGGCTGCAGGGTTCCCAAGCGAAATATGAGATGCTGTTCCTGCAACCTTTGGGTGGCATCGTTGTGGCACTGCAGGAGGCCCAGGATGGACATGTCATCCAAGGAGTGGGAGAGGGAGTTGAAATGGTTCGCGACTGGGAGGTGCAGTTGTTTGGTGCGAACCGAGCATAGGTGTTCCACAAAGCGGTCCCCAAGCCTCCGCTTGGTTTCCCAGATGGCGTATAGCATCAATTATTGCTGAGCTCCAACCTGTGATCGATCAGGAAACTGTGTGGAGACAATTTACAACTGCCCTGAATGAGGGTAGGTATGGAACTATACTCACCTCATAGGGAAAAGGAAACTGTTATTCATGAATTTATGCGATCAACAGACGGAGCAATGGTAGCAGTTTCAACATGAAATGCTCCTTGTGAGGTAGAAAATGGGTTAAATGCCGAGTAATGCACACTTTGCACTGTTCAATCAAACACTGCAGAGCACTTCAACAACATTATTCCAATACTCAAAATACGTAGGTATATGGGGGAAGGGGTAGGGTTTGCAAATCCACCCCCTTAAGACCCAAGCTGGCTAAGTTCACTGACAGGATGACCAATCAGAGAAAAGTCACCTGCCCCATCCCTATAAACCGATTAGAAGGAAGCAGCAAGGAGCTGTCCTCCAATCTCAGGCTTGATCTCGCTCTTCTTATTCCTGATAGGCTCACTCGTGAGGTGACCAAACACAGGAAAGAAGTAACCCATGAATGGAAGAACAGAGAGCAGTTAGAAAAGTAACTTATTGCAGTGAGGCAGTCACCGGTAGAGCCTTTAGCCAGAATGGTGGAGGGGGGAAAGGCAACTGGAAGAAGGTTTGTGGAGGAAGGAGTCCAAATACCCCATAAATGAACACAAATATTAAAGCTACTGTTACTAATTGACTGCATCACCAAATTAATTTGTTTGAGAGAATGAAAATGTAGACACTGAAAATCACATAGTAACCTTCAGGAAAATCTCATGAGGACCCCTTGGAAAAAAAAATGACTCCTGCATCTCTTCTATGGTAATGATGTCCCAATACCAAAACAATGTTGTAATCCTTACTGTACAATTCCAGTACTGGCAATTCCAGTTCCCCTATCAGCGACCGTTGCAAATTAACTTATAGAATCTACATAGTCAACAAAAAGAGAAAACTATCACATTATTTTGGGCCGGCTGGATTCTTCAGCTAAAAGACGCCAACTTCAAAATAGTGTGCAACTCAGCCTCTGAAAGGTGTTTAATGAATTCTGAAAATGGCAGTCAGTAAAACTAAAAGCAGCAGTGAAAGTGCTTTTAGGTGGTTTTCCAGTTGCTTCGATGAAACACAAAGCCAATCCATTAAACAGGTTTAAAATAAGCATTCATACTGGCAAAGGAAAACTGCTTTACCGCTGCTGCTGAAATGCCGGCGGTCTGTGCTGCAACTGGGGTCCCCTTCTTGGCGTTCTTAAATCCTTCTGTACCACATGAAGTCCGCACCATGCTCAGTCCGTCATGGGTGGTAACGTGAATGTGTGTGCTCAGGAAAAAAAACAACAACATCTAAATGATAGAAAAAGTGAGGCAGAAATCCCTGAAAATTTGTTAATCATATTTCAACTTGTACGCATTTAGAGTCATAGAGTTATACAGCAAGGAAACAGACCCTTTGTTCTAACTTGTCTGTGCTGACCAGACATCCTAAACTGATCTAATCCATTTGCGAGTATTTGGCTCATATCCCTCCAAACCCTTCCTTATTGATGTACCCATCCAGATGCCTTTTAAATGGTGTAATTGTATCTGCTTCCACCACTTCCTTTGGCAGCTCATTCCAAACATGCACCACCCTCTGCATGAAGTAGTTGCCCCTCAGGTTCCTTCTAAAGTTTTCCCCTCTCGCCTTAAACTTATACTCTTCTAGTTTTGGACTCACCTACCCTGGGAAAAAGCTTTTGGCTGTTCACCTATCCATGCCCCTCATGATTTTATAAACCTCTGTAAAGTCACCCCTCAGCCACCGATGCTCCAAGGAAAAAAACCTGAGCCTATTCAGCTGTTCCCTATAGTTCAAACTCTCCAATCCCAGCAACATCTTTGTAAATCTTTTCTGATCCTTTCAAGTTTAACAACATTTTTCCTATAGCAGGGAGACCAGAACTGAATGCAGTGTTCTAAAAGTAGCCTCACCAAAGTCCTGTACAGCTGGAACTTGATGTCGCAACTCATATACTCAATGCACTGACCAATGAAGGCAAGCATGCCAAATGTCTTCTCCATCACCCTGTCTACTTGCGACTCCACATTCAAGGACATATGTGCCTAAACTGCTAGGTCAGCAACACTCCTCAGGGCCCTACAGTTAACTGCATAAGTCCTGACCTGGTTTGCGTTACAAATATAACACCTCACATTTATCTAAAATAAATCCTATTTACCACTCCTTGGCCCATTGGCCCATCTGATGAAGGTCCTATTGTACTCTGAGAAAACCTTCTTCGCTGTCCACTACACCACCAATTTCGGTTCAACTGCAAACTTGCTAGCCATATCTCCTATATTCACATCCAAACCATTTATATAAATGACAACAAACAGTGGACCCAGTACTGATCCTTGTGGCACACCGTCGGTCACAGCTCCAGTCTGAAAAGCAACCCTCTACCACCACCCTCTGTCTCCAAACTTCAAGCCAATTTTGCACCTAATTGGCTAGCTCCCTCTGAATTCCATGTGATCTAACCTTAGTAACCAGTCTACCATGTGATTGTTTGAATCTCATTGAATGCTTTGCTGAAGTCCATATAGACAACATCTACTGCTCTGCCTTTATCAGTCTTCTTTGTCACCTCTTTGAAAAACTCAATCAAGTTAATGAGACATGATTTCCCACACACAAAGCTATGTTGACTATCCCTAATCAGTCCTTGCCTTTTCAAATACACGTAAATCCCATCCCTCAGAAACCCCTCCAACAACTTACCCGCCACTGACATCAGGCTCACCAGTTGAGAGTTCCCCAGCTTTTCCTTACCACCTTTCTTCAGTAATGCCAGAACATTAGCCACCCTACAGTCCTCTGGCACCTCATTTGTGGCTGTTGATAATATAAATATCTCAGCATGCAGCCCAGCAATCTCTTCCCTAGCTTCCCACAAAGTCTGGGATACACCTGATCAGGTCCAGGGGATTCATCTACCTTCATGCGTCTTAAGACATCCAGCATCCCCTCTTCTGCAATATAGTCACTTTCAAGTCATCACTACTTATTTCCCAAGTTCCCTAGCTTCCATGTCCTTCTCTACAGTAAATACTGATGCAAATATTTGTTTAGTATCTCATCCATATTCCATGGTTCCACACATTGACAGCCTCATTGATCTTTATGAGGTCCTATTCTTTCCCTAGTTATTCTTTTGCCCTTAATGTATTTGTAGAATCTCTTTGGATTCTCCTTAACCCTATTTGCCAAAGCTATCTCATGTCCCCTTTATGTCCTCCTGATTTGCCTTTTAAGTATATACCTACTGTCCTTACACTCTTCCAGGGATTCACTTGATCCCAGCTGTCTATACCTGTCATATGCCTCCTTGTTTTCCTTGACCAGAGCATCAATTTTTTTCTCATCCAGCATTGTCTACACCTACCAACCTTGCCCTTCACACTAACAGCAACTTATTGTGTCTGAACTCTCATTATCTCACTTTTGAAGGCCTCCCACTTTCCAAGCATCTCTTCACCTGCAAACAGCCCCTCCAATCATTATTTAATGTTCATTGAGGTAAAGAATGTTAATGCTGATGTTCCAGATGAAGTACAATTGCACGCAAACTAAAGATTGCTCTACTTTGCTCACACCATAGCGGAGCCCAACATTCTGTACTGTATTCTGATATTTTTTTTCTGTGAACTTTACAATAAGATAAGGGTAAGATTGCCAATTACTGTCAAGTAAGGGACAGTTTAGTGCTGTGGGCAAATTATCATGGGTAATGGGTTGAAATGATCCCAATGTCATTTCAGCCAATTAAAGAAATTTCCAATGTGAGAGTCTGAGTTCCAGTAATCTTAAAAATTGAAAACCAACATCCACCTCCATCCTCCACTGCAGTCCTCCCTGTGAAAGAACATGCCAATTACTTTTTTAAACTACAACAAAATTCTGCATTTATACAGTAGACTTAGCAGTTTAAAAAAAAAACTTCAAAATGATGGAATGAAGAAACGGAGAGGGTTCAGAGAGATTAACCAGGATGTTGCCAGGAATGGAAGGTTTCAGTTATAAAGAAAAGCTGGGACTTTTTTAACTGGAGTGTAGGAAGTTCAGAGGTGACTGTACAGAAGTTTACAAAACAATGAGGGGTGTAGATAGAGTTAATGGTAGCTGTCTCTTCCCTAGAATGGGGGATTTCAAGACCAGGGGGCACATTTTTAAAGTGAGAGGAGACAGAATTAAAAAAAGACATTTTTATACACAGAAGGTCGTTCATGTGTGGAATGAACTTCCAGAGGAAGTGGTGGATGTGAGTACAATTACAACATTTAAAAAAACATTTGGATAAGTACATGAATAGGAAAGGTTTGCAGGGCTTTGGGCCAGGAGCAGGCAGGTGGGACTAATTTAGTTTGGAATTATGTCTGGCATGGACTTGTTAAACCGAAGGGTCTGTTTCCGTGCTGTATGATTCTATGACTATGTCACTGGAAAGAAGGACATTTTAAGAAGGATGATCAAATCAAGGTGAGGGATGAATTTTGAGGAGGGGTTTTAATAGCAAAGAGACAGGGAGAGAGAGATGTGAAAGGCAAGAGACAAAGATGGGGAAAGTGAGCAAAAATTCAGGTGAGATCATATTCAAGCTTAGAGAACAAAAAGATAGGATTGCAATTTTCTGAAATAACACAGGATTCAAGGATGTTTATTTGAATTTAACACTGAAGGTGACTTTAGATGAATGGGGAACATCTCATCCAAAGGATTGGCAGTTCCTTATTGATACACTGGAGAGTCAGCCTCAATTTTTTTGCACACATCCTGGAGTGGTACTTGAACGTACAGCTGCTTGACCAGAGGTGAAGATGCTAACTACTGAAACACAGTTGACACATGAGAGAAACTAGAGAAAGATGTGAGTTCAGGATTGGTCCTGAAGGTACCCTGGATAAAAATTTGGTCTATTGGACAACAGGAAATAAGAAGCAGAAAAATGATATTATTTTCAACCTCAAAATCATAATGTAATAATTATCAAACCTAAACATGGTGTGCTTTTATTAGGAGGGAGTTATTAGTATTTTCCGAAAGTGAACTTAAACTAACTTGAATGGATGATTTAATTTAAAAAAAACAAAAGTTAATTCAATTTTCAAGATGTCAAGAATTGCTGGGGTTTTTATTTATAGATCTAATTCTGAAACATAATGCTTTCTGCATCAAACATGTGAAATTAATTATTGATTTAAACCAAATGCTCACTCTTGTGTAAGATACTATTTACACTAGAATCTACTTCCAGGTTGCAACAACACATTTTGAGTTTTTACTGCCATATTTTCTCTGTCAAAATTCTCCCTTTAAGGTAATGACTGATGCTTGGGCAAGTGGCTACTTTTTGTTTGGTAAGCATGTGTCTCGAAACCATTTGATCACATGGTCAATCAAAGCCAAGAAAAATCTTATCCTCAAGAAAAACCACAGTTGTATGTTCTGGCAGGAATCAATGAATATAGATCAGTATTCAGCTAACTTGCTTATGTTTATTAATTGGAAAAATAAATTATAGAGCCAATCATAGTGCCCTATCAGGTAGTCATCTCAGATTAATGAATCTAGTATCTGTCACTAAACATTGCTACATCCAAAACTTACTTATTATATGTTGCTTTGATGTGCACTATGTGTAGATCTTCAAACTTTTTGCCTCCCCAGCGCAAAGGGCTCTCCTGTCCTGGCATTGGAGGTAGGATACTGTAGGTGACACACAAATACCAATAATTCAACTGTATGAATAATAAGAAAGCTCATATTAAATCTCCTGTTTGGAACTTCCACCATTTTTTTCAATCTACTGGACCGCAATGTTGGGCTCTCTAATTGGGTATATTGCACTACGTACATAGGCACCAGGTCCACAATGGACCAGCATTGTTCCTTGTCCTCCATGGTGACCCAGTTGGCCTGAGGAACTGCATCATTTAGTACCATCTGTGACTATGACCCATCTTTGCTGATTTTAACTGCAGCGAATTGAATCTTCTGATCTTTAAAATAGCTGACACGCTGTGAAGAATTTGTAAGCATGAAGCCAATGAGAGTTTTATCGTAATCACTGTAAAGCCAGCTGGAAAGGTTGAAAGGGATGCAGATCATACCAATGTCTGCAAAACTGTTTTCATTTCAAGTTGAGCCAGCACATAATGATTCTGCTCTATGCATATAAGATACAACAGCAAAATCTCTTCCTATATGTCCTCACTTTATAGAACCGATTCTTGCTGGAGTATGGTTCTGCAGGCATAGGGACCCCTCTGGTTGCTCATGTGGCTAGTCATTCTTTGTAGCGGTAGCTAGGCTAAGTGATAACATATTCATTTAAATCATATGTAAATGGAATTAAGATACAGATAAGCCATGAACAGGCTTGAGGGGCCAAATGGTCTACTCCTATTTCCAGCACTCTCACCTCTGAATCAGATTCTCACTGTCAAGCTTGACTACATAACATTTAGTCTTTACTTCTGCATTATCAAAGCTGTCTTGGGAATGAAATTATAACGTAAGCTGACCAGCCTCTGTGAAAATATTAAGGATCCCACAGCATATTTTTGACAGCTGGAAGGAAGTTCTTTCCATGGCAAACATTCTTTGTTGAAAAAAATGGCACCAAAATAATTAACTGGTCATTATTGCACTATTTTTGGAATACCTTGCTGTGTACAAACTGGCTGCTGAGATTGCCCACAAAACCGTGACAACAATCTAAAACTAATGTATTAACTGCAAGGCAATATGGGATACTCTGAGCACAGAATATAAATTCTAGTTCTTTCTTCATTGGAGAGTGAATACTTGCAAGCCATTTGAACAAGAAAAAAATCAGAGCAGGGTCTAAACCTGATCTCACTCAAATTCCACTTTCAAACAAGGGTCAACGCAGAGTGAGCCTAAATAACAGCCTGGCTATTTTATCTGCTTTCTAACTGAGAAAGCAATTGTTTTGCTGCCTACAAAATATCTTAGATTTTATACCACTAGACAGAAAGTATCTGAAAAAGCTCTGTCTAATTATCAGACAAGAAAAGGTTAAGCACTTTATCAGCAGCTCAAAGCCAAATGAGCATTTAAAAAACACTGCATTTCACTAAAAGCCAGTCTGATTTCCAATACACAAAATAGGGCCTGGTTCCATGTGAAAGACCAGATCATTTCGCTTCTGGCCTTTATTAAGATCCTGTCTCAGAAACCAGGGTTTAATCCTGTTCAGTTTTTACAGCATTTTTTCTGGATAGCCACTCCTGAAGTTGAACTATCTGGTTCAAAATTAGACATTTGGTTTTCCCCAAAAAATATTTACAGTTTAAAACAGTGCAGCTGATAAGGGAGCAGGAATACCTGAAATCTGCTGAAGTCTTGCCTTCTGTTAGTTCTGTGGAATTGTTCTCATTTTCTGCTAACCCTTGTAACTTCACAAAACTTGTATGTACCAAGCAGCACTGGCTCTCCATTGAATTAACACGACCACTGGGCGAAGAACATGTAGACATTAGTATGCATACAAATAAAACTCCACACAGTAAAGCTGAAAGCAAAGATATGTTAGAGATAGTAGGAACTGCAGATGCTGGAGAATCTGAGATAACAAGGTGTAGAGCTGGATGAACACAGCAGGCCAAGCAGCATCAGAGGAGCAGGAAGGCTGACGTTTCAGGCCTAGACCCTTCTTCAGAAATGGGGGAGCGGAAGGGGGTTCTGAAATAAATAGGGAGAGAGGAGGAGGCGGATAGAAGATGGATAGAGGAGAAGATAGGTGGCGAGGAGACAGACAGGTCAAAGAGGCGGGGATGGAGCCAGTCAAGGTGAGTGTAGGGGGGGAGGTAGGGAGGAGATAGGTCAGTTCAGGGAGGTCGGACAGGTCAAGGGGGCAGGATGAGGTTAGTACGTAGGAGATGGGGCTGGGGCTTGAGGTGGGAGGAAGGACAGGTTAGGGAGGCAGGGACGAGATGGGCTGGTTTTGGGATGCGGTAGGGGGAGGGGAGATTTTGAAGCTTGTGAAATCCACATTGATACTATTGGGCTGCAGGGTTCCCAAGCGGAATAGGAGTTGCTGTTCCTGCAACCTTCGAGTAGCATCGTTGTGGCACTGCAGGAGGCCCAGGATGGACATGTCGTTTGAGGAATGGGAGGGGGAGTTGAAATGGTTCGCAACTGGGAGGTGCAGTTGTTTAGTGCGAACCGAGCGTAGGTGTTCTGCAAAGCGGTGCCCAAGCCTCCGCTTGGTATCCCCGATGTAGAGGAGGCCACAACGGGAACAGCGGATGCAGTATACCACATTAGCAGATGTGCAGGTGAACATCTGCTTGATGTGGAAAGTCTTCTTGGGGCCTGGGATGGGGGTGAGGGAGGAGGTATGGGGGCAGGTGTAGCACTTCCTGCGGTTGCAGGCAAAAGTGCAAGGTGTGGTGGGGCTGGAGGGGAGTGTGGAGCGGACAAGGAAGTCACGGAGAGAGCGGTCCCTCCGGAAAGCAGATAAGGGTGGGGAGGGAAGAATGTCTTTGGTGGTGGGGTCGGATTGCAGATGGTGGAAGTGTCGGAGGATATGCGCTGGATCCGGAGGTTGGTGGGGTGGTACGTGAGGACGAGGGGGATTCTGTTTTGGTTGTTATTGCGGGAAGGGGGTGTGAGGGATGAGTTGCGGGAAATGCGGGAGACACGGTCAAGGGCGTTCTCGACCACTGGCGGGGGGGGGGGGGGGGGGGGGAAGTTGCAGTCCTTGAAAAACGAGGACATCTGAGATGTACGGGAGGGGAATGCCTCATCCTGGGAGCAGATGCGGCGGAGGCGAAGGAATTGGGAAAAGGGGATGGCGTTTTTGCAGGAAGGTGGGTGGGAGGAGGTGTATTCTCGGTAGCTGTGGGAGTCGGTGGGCTTGAAATGGATATTGGTTTCCAGGTGGTTGCCAGAGATGGGGACAGAGTTCCAGGAAGGAGAGAGAGGTATTAGAGATGGTCCAGGTGAACTTAAGGTTGGGGTGGAAGGTGTTGGTGAAGTGTATGAACTGTTCGAGCTCCTCGTGGGAGCACGAGGCGGCGCCAATACAGTCATCAATGTAACGGAGGAAGAGGTGGGGGTTTAGGGCCAGTGTAGATACGGAAGAGGGATTGTTCCACGTAACCTACAAAGAGGCAGGCATAGGTTGGGCCCACGCGGGTACCCATGGCCACCCCCTTTGTCTGTAGTAAGTGGGAGGAATTGAAAGAGAAGTTGTTGAGGGTGAGGACGAGTTCGGCTAAGCGGATGAGGGTGTCAGTGGAGGGGGACTGGTCGGGCCTGCGGGACAGGAAGAAGCGGAGGGCCTTTAGGTCATGTGTATGGGGAATGCAGGTGCATAGGGACTGGACGTCCATGGTAAAGATGAGGTGTTGGGGACTGGGGAATTGGAAGTTCTGGAGGAGGTGGAGGGCTTGGGTGGTGGACCAAGGGGGAGAAAATGAGTCGAGTTAGGTGGAGATAAGTTCGGTGGGGCAGGAGCAGGCGGAGACAATGGGTCGACCAGGGCAATCAGGTTTGTGGATTTTGGGAAGGAGATAGAAGCGGGCGGTGCGGGGTTGGGGAACAATGAGGTTGGAGGCTGTGGGTGGGAGGTCACCTGAGGTGATGAGGATGTGGATGGTTTGGGAGATGATGGTTTGGTGGTCGGGGGTTGCGTCATGATCAAGGGGGCGGTAGGAGGAAGTGTTGGAGAGTTGGTGCCTGGCCTCAGCGATGTAGAGATCAGTGCGCCATACTACAACTGCGCCTCCCTTGTCCGCGGGTTTTATGGTGAGGTTGGGATTGGAGCGGAGGGAGCAGAGGGCTGCACGTTCTGCGGGGGAAAGGTTGGAGTGGGTGAGAGGGATGGAGGGGTTGAGGTGATTGATGTCTCGATGGCAGTTAGAGATGAAGAGGTCGAGGGAGGGTAGGAGGCCTAGGGGTGGTGTCCAGGAGGAGGGGTCAGTAGAGGGAGGGTTAGGCTCACGGTTGAAGTAGTAAGCGCAGAGGCGGAAGCGGCGGAAAAACTGCTCAATGTCCAAACGTGACCGGTATTCGTTGATGTGTGGGTGGAGGGGGACAAAGGTGAGCCCTTTAATGAGGACTGACCGTTCGTCCTCAGTAAGGGGGAGGTCTGGGGGGATGGTGAAGACTCGGCAGGGCTGGGTGTGGCTGTCTCCTCTGGAGCTGCTGGCTGTGGAGGCGATGGGCGGAGCGACGTCGGAGTCGGTGGTGAGCCGTGCGGCGTCGGCTGGGGGCGGAGTTGCGTTGGCGTTGGTGGGCGGAGTTGTGTCGGCGATGGGCACAGCGGCATCGGCGGTGGCAGCAGCGGTGACGGTAGGTGTGTCCTCAGTGTCTGTGGTGTTGGCCTTGGAAATGGAGGCGGTGGCATCAGTAGTGATGGCGTTCGCTGTCTCGGAAGTGGTGTACCCTACTGAATTTAGTTACTGCATTATTCAGAAATTACACAATGGTTCTTTCACAGTGGAATATTACTGCATCTTTATCCTGCCATGTTACCAAATTCTAGGTTTCAAATCCACCACTTTGGTTAAGATGTGGAGGTCAAACGTACATTCTTCTTGATATGATTGTTCAAATCTGCTGTATTTTTACAGATGCTGCGTTTTGAGTCAGACTTTTGATAAGGCTGGTTTCTTTAACAGTATTTTCCAAACTTGCGACCACAAGTACAAGGGCAGCAGATGCACAGGAACCACCTGCAAGTTCCTCTCCGAGCCACACACCATTCTGACTTGGAATTAAATTATTGTTCCTTTACAGTTGCTGGAGCAAAATTCTGGGACTCAGCCTGCAAAAAGCACTATGCTTGTACCCATAACACTTGGACTACAGTCGTTCAAGAGGATGGCTCACCACCATGTTCTCAAGGGCAATTACTAATGGGCAACAATTTCTGTCACATCCTATGACAGAATTAGAAAAAAATGGGTATCAAAAATTAATTGGATGGGAAACAAGAAGGGTCTCCACGATGCAACCAACATTTTTTTCCAAATACCATCAAAATCAAATGAATTGGTCAGTCAACAATTACATTTATTAAAATAGTATCATCCGAATTAGAAATAAGAAAGCTGATGTTGAATTAGGAGGAGAAAATTAGAAGCAATGACCAACAGTTTTTTTTATAGAACAAAGAAAATTACAGCACAGGAACAGGCCCTTCAGCCCTCCAAGCCTGCACCAACATGCTGCCTGTCACAACTAAAATGCCCTACCCTTCCGGGGGCTGTATCCCTCTATTCCCATCCTATTCATGTAGGATAAATCAGAGTTGGGTTTTTATAGGGTAGGGAGAGATCAAGAACTTTGGGGACCGAGTTTTAAAAGTTAGGATTGAAGTGGCTGAAGGTGCTGGAACTAATGATGGAGCCAATGAAATGGAGATGCTTGAAAATGTTCAGTTAGGGATGAAGAGATAGGAGCAGATCACAGAGAGAGAGAGAGAGAGAGAGAGAGGGAGGATCCTTTGGCAGGATTTATTGACAAAAGCAATGCTGAGACTAAGAACCAAATCAGTCCACGCTGGAGAGCTGGAAGAATGCGGGCCAACATACTTATTCATTTTTTGACAGATTGAAATCTACAGAAGAATGGTAAAATTACTAGGATTATACACCTTTCATGACCGGTTGTCATCACAAAATACAGTTAACTGAATAGATTTTTGAAATTATCACTTCCTCAGCACTAGACTGGAATGCTTACCTATCAGGATTATTTATTCAAAATAATTGAAACACAGCAGTCCATTTGCACACAGCATGACTACACAAACATTGTCACAGACTCACGACAGTGACACACTCTAATCTAAGTCCTACTCCAGGACATGAGAAGAACAAATAAGTCCAATACTCCAAAGTGGGTCTAAGGGAGTTGGTGCGCTGTGTTGAGAATTTATATAGGGGCCCTGTCTGTCTGCTATGGCAGATGTAAGAGATCTCATGCTGCTACTTCAAAGGAGCTATACTCTGACTGATATTAATTACTTAGTCAAAAACCAGATTGCATGAAGCTTATCACATTACTGTTTTTGGGAGCTTGCTATGTATAAATTGGCTGCTTAGTTACCAACATTTAAAATTCTTAATTGGCTATAGAGTTCTTTGAGCTGTTCAATGGTCATGAAATATAAGTGCTAAGTATTTTTTTTAGTGATCACGGTTAAAGCAGCAAAGATACATGCTGAAATGAAATTTTATAGATGACCACGGAGGAAAATCCAAGCTTATAGGAGCAGGGGCAGGCAATTCAGCCCCTTGAGTCTGCTTCAACACTCTAACTTACGACTGCTCATCTACCTCAACCTATTTTCTCCTGCTAATCCCATATCCCTTGATATTATTAGCATCTAGAAATATATTATCTATATCTTGAACTTAAAGACTGAGCTTCCACAGCCTCTGAGCTAGAGAATTCTTAAGAATTACTACATTCCTCCCCTGATCAGATCCAAATGGCTTGCTCATCATTTTAAAAACTACAATGCTCTGGTTTTACATCTTCCTTTTCCCTAGACAGGAAAACATCCTTTTCTGTATCCAGCTTGTCTAGCCCTCAAAGCACGTTGTGAGTTTCTACAAGATCTCCTTCCATTCTCCCAAAAAAAAACTCTAGCAAATAAAGGACCCTTCTTCAGAGCCATTTCTAAGGAAGGGTCCTGACCCAAAACGTCAACTTTCCTGCTCCTCTGATGCTGCCTGGCTTTCTGTGTTCCTCCAGTTCCACACTGTTATCTCCGACTCCAGTATCGGCAGTTCTTACTATCTCTGACTGAGTTATAACCCCACTGCGAAGCCTCTTCTAGGGATGCCTACCTTGAAAAAGTTATCCTCCTCCCTCTGGAAAGACCTCAGTGGAACTCTCTCCCACTGCAACCCTTTGGTAATCTCTTCAGCCCTGAAACTGCTCAACAACTTACTGAAGCAAACCAGGAACTACAGCCACATTACCTTCCTCAGTACCTGCCTATGGAACCGGATCATCTCCAATGGATTTCAATCTACATTCAGGCCATCCCAATTTGGCCCTGACCGCGACAACCTCTACCCCCATTTCTGAAGAAGGGCCCCGACCCAAAACATCAACTTTCCTGCTTCTCTGATGCTGCCTGGCCTGCTGTGCTCCTCCAGTTCCACACTGTGTTATCTCTGACTCCAGCATCGGCAGTTCTTACTATCTGTAGCAAATAAAGGCCCAGTCTCCTTAATCTTTTCCCATAGAGTGTCTCATCATCCTGGGGATTATTCTGGCGAACCTCAGAAGGGGCCAAGTACTCCAGGTGTGGTCTCACCCAGGTTCTATACAACTGGTGCAAGGCACCTTGAATCCTGTGTTCGATCCTCTCGCCTTAGAGGCCAATATACCATTTTAAAAAATATACTGCAGGCCGCACCAGCATTTATTGACCCCCCCATTGCCCCTTTAAATGAGTGGCTTGTAAAGGCCATTTCAGGGGGCAGTTAGGAGCCAACCACATTGCTGTGGGTGTGGTTTCACATGTTGGCCAGACTGGGTAAGGATGCCAGATCCCCGCTCTAAAGGAGATTAATGAACCATTTGGCTAATTGGTTGCTGCTGTGCCAGCAATATTAGCTTTCGGTGACATATGAACAAGGACACCCCGGTCCCTTTGGATCTCAGTGCTTCCCAATCCTGAAAGAGAGGCGAGGAAGCGGAGACCGGCTTGGGAGAGGCGAAGTTCCAGGGATGCTGTTGACTGCGAGTGAGAGCGACATGGGGCCGAGGGGCTGAACGGCCTCCCCATGGCTGGTCCCCATGGAAACGTGGCCTAGTAAGGCGAGCCTACCCTCACAGTGATGCGCAACTTACTCACCAGGCGCCTCCAGCTTGCAGTAACCCTCGACCCAGCCGCCACAGCACAGCCCGTGGCCCCAGCATCATGAACGCAGGATGATCCCCAAGCCTGACCCCACTCTCGCTCCAATCGAGCTCCCAGGCCCGGACTCGGGCCTGAGGCCACTACCAAAACAAAGGGAGCGGAGCAGAAGAGGTTAAACTAACAACCATATTCTTATTCGTGCCATCAAACCACAACAGAAGTTAACATAAGAATGGACAGATATTTTATACTTTATGGCCATTGAAATTCATAAAGACACAGTTATTTTTCCGTGTTTGATATGTGTATGATTTCAACCACCCCAAACAACACTTAGTATCATCCTACTTTCGACTGTTCCATTTAATTACTCGTAAGGGGCTCCATAAAAACTTCCGAGTGTTGCAATTTTCGGTTGTTATTTTGTTGTATTTCTCAATAGGCATTAATTTATTGAGTTTCAATTGCTGAAAGGGCGGGATGGATGATTTTAAGGAAGGATTCATTCCAGTGTAGGTGTTGATTGTGATTAGTTTCCCCCCCCCCCCATTGCGCGTGGCGGCGGCGGCAGCAGCGTTGGGTGCAAGATGGCGGCGCTGCGTCGCTTGGTGCCTGTGGCCGGGTCCGGAGTCAGGCTCCGGGGGCTGGTGCGAGGCTCGGCCCTGCATTTCCTGGTCACGACGGCCGATAAAGGTCCGAACCAGAGCCCGAATCACGGGCCGGGCTGGCGGTGCTGCGGCGCGGTGTGTCTGCAGCGGGCGGCCGTCTTGTCGCGGGAAATGAACGCGATGGAGCGCGCGTTCGCGCGGCAGCTGGAACAGGCGAGTGCGCGCATTGCATCACTGCGGGAGCGCGCCTGTTGATGCCGGGGGAACAGAGCATAAGACATAGGAGCAGAAATGAGGCTATTCAGCCCATCACGTCTGCTCCGCCTTTCAGTCCTGGCTGATAAATTTCTCAGCTCCATTCTCCCCCTATAGGAGCGGTTAGATCATGGCCAAAAGAGTCTATATCATCAATTATTTAATTGTAGATTCCTTGTACCCCTTTTTAATCACTTAAGGTCGGGATAAAGTCAGTTTTGCTTTGAATGGCTCATAGGGTTGCACCCTCGGCTCTGAGTTAGGAAGTTTTGAGTTCAGTTCAGCTGTTGTGCTGAGGCAGTGCTGTACTGTCCGAGGTGCTGCACCACAAATTCAATTACTGCCCCGTCAGTCTATTCTTGATCATCAGTAAAGTGATAGTAGGGGGTCATCGATATTACTATGAAGCAGCAATCATTTAGCAATAAGCTGTTTGCTGATGCAGAGGCCACCCAGATCCTGACTTCATTCGTTCAAACATGGACAATATAGTCGAACTCCAGAAGGGAGATGAGGGTGACATTGACATCCAGGCCACTGCATATACTTGACTGAATATAGTATCGTGGAGTCTGAGCAAAACTGGCAATGTTTGGAATCAAGGGGGATAGGGAATTCTCCACTGGTTGGAGTCATACTTAGAAACAATCCAGTAGATCCATAGAATCCCTACAGTGAGGAAGCAGGCCACACTGACCCTCTGGGTAGCGTCCTACCCACATCCACCCTATTCCTGCATTCCCCTGATACACTTTGGGCAATTTATCACAGCCAGTCCACCTAACCTGCGTACCTTTGGACTGTGGGAGGAAACCAGAGCACCTAGAGGAAACCCACGCAGACACACGGAGAATGTGCAAATTCTACACTGTCACCTGAGGCTGGAAGCAAACCCAGGTCCCTGGCACTGTGAGGCAGCAGTGCTAATCACTGAGCCACCATGCCACCCACTAGCAGGTACCTAGAAAATGGTTCTGGTTGTTGGAGGTAAGTCATCTCAGCTCCAGGACATCCCTGTAGGAGTTCCTAAGGGTAGTATCCTAGGCACAACCGTCTTCAACTGTTTCATCAATGACTTTCCCTCCATCATAAGATCAGAAGTGGCGATTTTCAGGACCATCCGTAATTCCTCAGATAGTGAAACATCTATGTCTGAATGTAGCAAAACTTGGATAATACCCAGACTTGGGGTGGCGAATAACGATCGTGACACACAAGTATTTGGCAAACACCATTTGCAACAAGATGGAATCTTAGATTTACGGGTTTAAACTTTCTGATTTTTCTGGAATATATTGGTGTGGGTTCAGTGTCCTCCTTTGCTACTGTCTACTATAGTTAGACCTTGAACCTTTACCGAGGAATCTAACTATTGGCCTTTGACATTCATGGAATTACTGTTCCTGAAACCCCTGCTATCAACATCCTAGATGTTACTATTCACCAGAAACTAAATTGGACCAGCTACATACATAACACTTTAGATATAATATGCCTTCCAAAGTGTTTGATGCAATTGTGTGCATGCTTTTAGTGACTGGTGTAAGAGAGTACCCAGGTCCCTATGAATATCAACAATTCCCAGTGTATTGCTATTTAAATATTCAGCCTTTCCCATTTTCCTATCACTGTAGATAACTTCACACTTATCCATGTTACAGTGCATCTGCCCACTCACTCAACTTCTCTAAGCCCTTACATTCACGAGCATGCAGCCAAATTCTGCCCCACATCCATTTACAAGTTTGATATGACGCCACCATTGTAGGTCAGATCTTAAACAATGATGAGACAGAATACAGGAAGGAGATTGAGTGCTTAGTGGCACGGTGTAAAGACAACAAGCTCTTCATTAACGTAAGCAAATGAAAGAGCTGGTCATTGATTTCAGATAGTGGATTGGAGGGCATGCCCCTGTCTACATCAACGGTGCTGAGGTGGAGATGGTTGAGTGTCAAGTTCCTGGAATTGATGATGACAGACAATCTGTCCTGATCCACCCATGTTGACGTGATTGTCAAGAAAACACAACAACATCTCTACTTCCTCAGGCGGCTAAGGAAATTCAGCATGTCTACAAGGACTGTTAACAATTTCTATAGATGCACCATAGAAAGTATTCTAGCTGGATGCATCACAATCTGGTATGGCAACTGCACTTCCCAAGATCAGAAGAAACTACAAACAGTCATGAACACAGCCTAGTCCATCACACAAACTAGCCTTCCATCCATTGACTCCATCTATATTTCCTGCTGCCTTGGGAAAGCAACCAAAATAATCAAAGACCCCTCCCACACCGGTTTTACTCTCACCCTCTTCTGTCCAGCAGATGATATAAAAGCTTGAATACATGTTCAAACACATTCAACAACAGCTTCTTCCCTGCTTTTATCAGACTTTTGAACAGACTGGTCAAAAGGTAATGTTGATCTCTCTTGCTCTCTCTCTCTTTCTGTCTCTGCACCTGTGGTCGTAACAGTGTGTTTTGCACTCTGTTCTGCTACCCTGATGCACTTTATATGGTACAATCTGTCTGTGTAGCTCACAAAACAACACTTTTCACATTATCTCTGTACATGTCACAACAATGATTCAATCAAAACTGCCTTGAGTGCTTATTACATCCTCCTCACCGCTCACAATCCCAGCTAATTCTGTGTTGTCAGCAAACTTGGAAATATATCTTTTGATTTCCTCATCCAAATTGTTCTTATATATTAAGAATAGCTGGGGCCTCAGGTCTGATTCCTATGGTGATGTACTAGTCACTGCTTTTCACTTGGCAGTGGGTATGGGGTGGTGGTGGTTTGTGTGTGTGTGTGTGTGTGTGTTGGGAAGACTCCCTCTTTCCTGTCTATTTACCAATTCTTAATCCATGCCAATATCTTACACTCCATTCCATGTGCATTGATTTTGTGTTGTAACCTGTATGTCCATTGTTCCCTCTAAGTTACATGATTGGTCTGTGCACACCGATCAGCATGTAGACCTGTTGGATTCTGGGTCTGGAAGTCACTGCCATGCACAGACTTTGGAAGCTTGAGCAGCTGAAGGAAAAGTTAGAGTGACTGTAGTGTGGGACTTTAGGAAAAGATTTCTGAAAATTCAAATACACCACATCCACTGGTTTTTACCTTATCTCAAGATGCAATATAAATTTTTCTTTTGATTTTGAGCAATATTTGTGTTGAGCAGTGTGATTATGTGACGCAATATACTTTGTCCATCAGTTTTCAGCTTTGTCTGTACTGTTATTTGATCTTTGTAGGACAGTAGTGTAGGTTAGCCTTAGTGCCCTGCATTAGAGAAATTAGGTGGGGGTGGGTATGGTTGTAGAGACGTCATCCAACATTACTACATGTCATGCAATGATCCCTACGAGGCATTATCAAACGAAGCTGTGATAGTTTCCACAGTCAAATATCTTTCTGACATTGGCTGTCTAGTTGCACACCTGAAGCATGGTTGTGTGGGAGATGCTCCCATTGAGTCAGTCTCATCAAAAGGGAGAAAAGGGGGATTTCTTTTTCATATGACTGTCTGCATATTCCTATGTAATTTAATCAATGTGAATGTGGAACCTGAAAGCTGAAACAAGTGTGAATCTTAACAGTTGAATTAGAGATCATCATGAAAAAAACTAGTGATGCTATGTTAATTTCATGTGTAATAGTACATCCTGAATCACTCTATTGATTTCAAAGTTTTATTCTGCTTGTTGTGAAACACTTGGCCTGGAGGCTACTCCTTACAAAGCCTAATGGATAGTTTAGCACCTGCCGCATTCCTGAAATGCAAATGATCTCCTATATTTTGTAGGTAGAACTGGAGAAAAGTCTGTACTCTGATCACGAGCTCCGAGTCTTTGAAGATGAAGAAAAACTTCGCCGGAGGCAGGCAGATGATTACGATTCGGATGAAGAAGAGGATGTAGGCCAAGATATTGTGACTGCCCAAGATCTGGAAGATATGTGGGAACAGAAGTTCCGACAATTTAGACCTGCTGAGAGAATACAAGGTGTGTGTCCTTTGATGTTACAACTGTAGTGTATCACGTTTGTCGTAGAGCGCTCCAAGTTTTTTTTGCTCACTTTTTTTTGCCATAAATTTGGCATTTTTCATCCAAAGTTTTTCTTTAATCAAATGAATTCCATTTGAATTAAATCGTTCACAATTTCAATTCAATGATTATTATGTGATCACCCATTTCCTACTTCAGCTTACTTTTGCAGAGACTTCTTACTTCCCTCAAATTTGCCTTCCTCTACGCAGTCTTGATTTTTCCAACTCAAGCTTGGTGTCATTTAATTACTTTCTTCATTTATCTTGGTGCCTATTCCTTTCATCCTTGAAGGTTAGGTAGAATTGTGAGAGATGACTGAAGATATGCAGCAAATTGGAATATGTTCTTGGTATTTACAATATTTTGTTTTTAAATGTTAGAGGATTTAAGCTTTTTTGTTACTGTTGGCAGGTAAACATCTTGATTTTACTGAAATAATCTGTGTTTTCATAGTATTCATAAATAGTTCGCTTCACAAAAAATTACCGGCAATTTTGTAGCATCAAACTCATTTGTCCTAATTTTCCCATTAACCTTTATTCTCTTATAAATACAGGTTTAATCCTTCTAATTTTGCTGGAATACATTGGTGTGGCTCAGGGTGCTCCTTTGGTACTGTGTACTGTAGTTAGACCTTTAACCCTTATCTAGGTATTTCTGTTAATTAAAAAAAAGTTGTCAGACAGCCTGGTTGCATTGGAGAATGAAATTTAAAGTGACTGGTGTTCAACAGAATGTGACTTCTGATGTTTGTAATATAGTTACATGTTGCTGAGCATAGCAAACTTTAAATTGCAGCCTCCCCAACCCCCAGATCTTTCACATTAATCCCCTGGGGGTGGTGCAGAATGACTGCAGTCTTGTTGAATTTCATCATAAATTTCCTGCTGGAATGCACTTTTTTAATCTGAGGAACTTCAAGCTTTGAGAAATTGTGTGTGTCTCAGAGCTCCATTTCTGGTAAAGTCACACACATTAAAAGGCACCTTCTAAAAGGTTCTTTCGAATCCCAGTGTTGGAGGTTTAGTTTTTGCAACCAGCCTTTGCTGTCAGCCTGATGTTTGTTGAACTTATTAACTAGAAATATATAGTTCATTATTGTGGATTTGTAATCTCAGTGAACAAACTATAATGATCAATATGGCTTTTAAAACTGCCTCTGACAATCTCAAAATATTTTGAATTTTATTCTTTCTTTCAAACATTGTAAATGACTCCATTGGAGCAAAGCAAGTGCTATCGTTCATTACAGAGAATATATAGCGGCAGGGAAATTTGAAGGAATCCAAAATTCTATGATTCTATGTGCAGCTTCAGAGTGATCTTTCTAGTGATAATTGCAAATCTTAAATGCCTGTTACGTCTGTAAACAGAGTCCCATACTTTAGTATTTTTCCATAATTTTATCTACTTCAAATATTTGTTGTTTTGCTTTCCAAATAATTGTGCAACAATTGTTCCCTATTTTGTGCAATAATAATAAAAATATATCAGTCTGCATGAAGAAAATTAGACTATTCATTATCCATTTGTGATAATTTTAACATAAATCTACCTTTTGCTGATCAGGAAAACTGCAGAGGAGAGGTTGCTGAATTATGTCTGGCAGCAGTATTGATAGTTGTCTGGCCAGTTATTCAAAATGTGCTTCTTTACCTTTTATTTTAGAAGCTGACAAGAAGAGTGACAGATCTACATTGAATAGGCGACTAGATGAGAAACTGATATTACTGGTAAAAGAAAAAGTGGGAGATGAAGAGATCTGGTTGCTGCCACAGAGTGAATGGAAGCCGGGGGAAACCATGAGACAGACTGCAGAACGTGCCCTGTCTACACTATCTGGTGGGAGTGCTTTGATAGCTTTATATATATAGTAGTGTATAGAATTAGAAACATATACGGTACAGCACAGGAGGATGTTACCTAGCCCATTGTGTCTATGCCACCTCTTTGGTAGAGCCGTCTAATTAGTCCCACTCACCTTCTTTCACCAATATCTCGTACTTCATTTCTCCCTCTAATATTTTCTAATTTTCTTTAGAATGTAATGATTGAATCCGTTTCTACCATCCTCTTAAACATTCCAGATTACAATTTGCTGTTTTTATTTATTCTTTAATTGTCACGTAGCCTCTGCTTGTTTTTGCTAATCTGAGGTCTTTAATCCTTAATCCTTTTGTTTTATGCGTTCGTGGGATATGCGCAATGCAGGCATGGGCAGCATTTATTTCCTATTCATAATTGACCCCAAGAAGGTGATGATGAGCTGCCTTATTAAACTGCAGCAGTCCTTGGACTGTAGTTGCATCCTCAGTGCTATCTATTCCAAACATATTTATGTTTGCTTTCAATGACAATACTTGTAGCCAGCAATTTTTAAAATATCATTTTCTAATTCATTTTGTTCCTCATCTTTTAAATTTTGTAGGAAATGAATTGCACGCTGTTTTTCTGGGCAATGCTCCAGCTGGCTTCTATAAATACAAGTATCCTAAGGCCTTGCGAAATTCCAGCATTGTAGGGGCCAAAGTGTTTTTCTTTAAAGCCTTGCTGATGAATGGAGACCTCAAGACAAGAAGGAAGGGTGACTATGTATGGGTAACTAAGAGTGAACTGAAGGACTATCTCAAACCAAAATATTTGCTGCAAGTTAATCGCTTCATCTTTGACACCTCAACAATATATGAGTAAAAGTTTATTTTGTTATAATGAAATCATTGTAAAAATTAAATTATACGATGAATTTAACATTTCTCCTATGTTTCTCAAATTATGTATTTGCATAGTTCCTGAGTCTTCTGTTTTATTATAATTAAGATCAAAGATTTGACTGGGAATATGCTATTTTCAAATTCTGGTTTGTACTCAGTCAAATGCTGTTGAATTCGCTTTAGTGCTGTTAGTTTGGAGAGGAGAAACCAGCTTGGATCCAACTACTCATTGGCTATGTTGTGACCTCTGCTGGAAAATATGTCTTTGGGAATCAGATTGAGGACATGATAAAACTTGGTGTTTAACTAAGATTTGCTGCTGCCTTCCAAATTGTACCCAGTATGAAATGACCACTTTTGGAAAGGAGAGAAGATAAATGGAAGTGAATGGGGTCAGTGCGTGTGGGTGGAGGAATTGCAAGTATATCACTTCTTCCGACCAAAACTCTCATCCTTAAACCTCTCACGGAGAAGCTTTCCTTAGTGCTTTCTTGTCAGTTCCAAGCTATTGAGTGGTCCCTCCTTCACCAAAACACTGGGCCTTGAGACTTGATTCAAGATGAGGTTGATTTTAAGGTACAGAAATTGTTTAGATGTTATGTCACTGGCAAACCCAATAATTATAAACTTTGCACATAAAAATTCCTTTGTTGAAAGGTTGCAGGTTGGATTTACTCTACTCTGTAGCTCCCAGATTCTATGTTCTATTGCTATCCATCTTGGTTTTTGTGAAAAGCATTCTTCGTTTATTCATATCAATGCCTATGTCCTTGACACCCTTGTGAACCAAAATGTGCATTTCCCTGTCCAATATATGTATCGATTTACCAAGATCTTTGGATTGTGGTTGAATTGGAAATTTTTCGCTTTTTGGAATATATCACATGCCACAACAACTTCTGCTTCACAAGTTGGAAATGTATTTACTCCATCAGACAGAAATTCTAACTTCAACCAATCACTGAATTTACTTATTGTTAAGCTAGTAAACAAACAGGTATTTAGTGTAAATGATTAACAGTAATTAGAAACTTTTCTCAGCTTTTCTATCTGAAAATAAGGAACCACCACCACCTACAACATTCCATATAAACCTGATCTTTCAAGAATGAATATCCAGTTATTACATGATGAAATGCAACCAGAGAGCTTAGAACCTTTAGTGATTATAGACTCTAGTCAGCTATATGTATATCATCCCAAATCTTTTCAATATATAGTGAAAGGAAGAAGTTTCAAAAGCAGCCCTGTCAGTTATTTGCCATTATACAGGATATTTGAATTAAGTGGAATGGCTTGATTCGTATTTGAGTACCACAAAAGATCTATCAGACTGTTTCTTGTCCACGATAAATGTTAACAATCAAATCAAAGAAAGCAACTTTCCTGAACTGACATCTGTTTCTGCCTATTCTGAATATAGTCAATGCGCTATCCAACCTTCAGAAACAGCTAACATCTGTGTGCATTCTGACTATTAAGAATATTGTAATATTCTTGTGCTCCAAAACTTGCCGCTCCCTGAGCCAAGCTGTTCCAGTGCAGTTACAACACTGGTATCTATCCGACAATGTGGAAAATTGCCCAAGTATGTCCTGTACACTAAAAGCAGGACAAATCCAACCCGACCAGTTACCGCCCCATCAGTCTCCTCTCGATCATCGGTAAAGTGACGGAAGGTGTCATCAACAGTGCTATCAAGCAGGACCTGCTCAGTGATGCTCAGTTTGGATTCCACCAGGGCTACTCAGCTATTTATCTCATTACAGCCTTGGTTCAAACATGGACAAAAAGGCTGAATTCCAGAGGTGAGGTGAGAGTGACAGCCCTTGATATCAAGGCTGCATTCGACTGAGTGTGGCATCAAGGAGCCCTAGCAAAACTGGAATCAATGGGTATCAGGGGACAAACGCTCTAGTGGTTGGAGTCATACCTGATGCATAAGAAGATAGTTGTGGCTGTGGGAGGTCAATCATCGCAGCTCCAGGACATTTCTGCAGGAGTTCTTCCAGGTAGTGTCTTAGGCCCAATCATCTTCAGCCGCTTCATCAATGACCTTCCCTCCATCATAAGGTCAGAACTGGGGATGTTCGCCGATGACTGCACAATGTTCAGCACCATTCGTGACTCCCCAGATACTGAAGCAGTCCATGGTCACATGCAACAAGATCTGGACAATATCCAGGCTTGGGCTGACAAGTGGCAAGTGACATTCGCGCTACACGAATGCCAGGCTATGACCATCACCAATAAGAAACAATCTAACCCTTGACATTCAATGGTGTTACCATCACTGAATCCCCCACTATCAACATCCTGTGCATTACCATTGACCAGAAACTCAACTGGACTCACCACATTAACAGAGTGGCTACAAGAGCAGGCCAAAAGCTGGGAATACTGCGGCGAGTAACTCACCTCTTGACTCCTCAAATCCTGTCCACCATCTACAAGACACAAGTCAAGAGTGTGATGGAATTCTCCCCACTTGCCTGGATGAGTGCAGCCCCAACAACACTCAAGAACCTTGAAACCATCAAGGGCAAAGCAGCCCATTTGATTAGCACTACATCCACAAGCATTCACTCCCTCCACCACCGACACTCAGTAGCAGCAGTGTGTACTATCTACAAGATGCACTGCAGAAATTCACCAAAGATCCTCGAACAGCACCTTCCAAACTAACGACCACTTCCATCTAGAAGGACATGGGCAGCAGATATATGGGAACACCACCACCGCCAAGTTCCCCTCCAAGTCACTCACCATCCTGACTTGGAAAAATATCGCCTTCCTTCAGTGTCACCAGGTCAAAATCCTGGAATTCCTTCCCTAAGGGCATTGTGGGTCTGCAGCAGTTCAAGAAGGCAGCTCACCAACACCTTCTCAAGGGCATCTAGGGATGGGCAAGAAATGCTGGCCAGCCAGCAACGCTCACATCCCACAAATGAATTGAAAAAGAATAGTAATATTATAGATATCAAAACATCGGTCCTGCTGCACTGATATGCATCTCCCAATGCTTTAAGATCCTGGAATATTTCTGTGGCCACTGCACTTCTGCCTTCATTGAGTTGTTCTGGATGTTTTTCACCACACCTATCGTGACTAATCTCCAACAATGAGTGCTGCCAGGTCCTGATACCTCCTGCCTCAGTGTTACTTGAGCATCTCACTTCCGGTACTGGCTCGTTCTGGGATTCTGTTTTGCCCACGTGTCACTAGCTTTTCTATAACACTTTGTTGATTGGTTCAAAGTTAAAAACAGTATCAAATCAGAAATAATAAGTTAGGGAATGTGTCAAAAGTGTGGAGAGTAGCTTTAAAAACTACCATTGAAAAGTCATTAGATGTTAATGAAGAAGAAGCAATTCTATATGACATTTTAGGAGAATGAAAGTGGAAAGTAAACCATTCAAATTGCCCACAAAATCTTCAAAGTTCTTTTTACGGTTTATCCTCTATAGTGTTCAAAACAAAGTAAAATGTCAAAACAACACATTTTGCAACACAGTGATTATGTTTACCAATTGAAAGAGATTTTCTGCCTCTTAATGTCTTCAGTGAAGTTAGAGTCATGGATTTACAGAGTTAAACAGCATGGAAACAGACCTTTCGGTCCAACTTGTCCGCACTCACCAGATATCCTAAATTGATCTAGTCCCATTACCAGCATTTGGCCCGTATCCCTTTTAAGCCCTTCCTATTCACATACCCATCCAGATGTCTTTTAAGTGTTGTAATTGTACTCATCTCCACCACTTCCTGTGGCAGCTCATTCTAAACATGCACCACCCTGTGTGTGAAAAAGTTGTTCCTCCGGTCCTTTTTAAATTTTTCCCCTCTCACCTTAAACCTTTGCCCTCTAGTTTTGGACTCACCTAATTTAGGGAAAAGACCTTGGCTGTTCACCCTATCTATGCTCCTCATGACCTTATAAACCTCTAAAAGGTCACCCCTCAGCCTCTTATGCTGCAGGGAAAATAGCCCCAGTCTATTCAGCTTCCCCCTATAGCTCAACCCCTCCAATCCTGGCAGCATCCATGTACATCTTTTATGAACCCTTTCAAGTTTATCTCCATCATTTAATATAGCAGGGAGACCAGAATTGAATGCAGTATTTTAAAAATGGCCTTGCCAATGTCCTGTACAGCTGCAATGTGATATCCTAACTCTTATACTCAATGCATTGACCAATGAAGGCAAGCATGTCAAATACCTTCTTCACCACCCTGTCTACCTGCGACTCCACTTTTATGGAACTATGCACCTGCACCCCTAGGTCCCTTTGTTCGGCAACAGTCCCCAGGGCCCTACCATTAAGTGTATGAGTCCTGCCCTGATTTGCCTTACCAAAATGCAATATCTCACAATTATCTAAATTAAACTTTATCTGCCACTAACCATTCCTCCTCATTCACATCCAAATTATTGATGTAAATGACAAAAAGCATTGGATCCAGCACCGATCTTTGTGGCACACCACTAGTCACAGGCCCCCGTTCTGAAAACCAACCCTCCACCATCACCCCCTGTCTCCTACCTTGGAGCCAATTTTGTATACGAATGGCTAGCTCTCCCTGGATTCCATGTAACCTAACTTTGCTAACCAGTCTACCATGCGGAACCTTCTCGAACGCTTTACTGGAGTCTATACAGACAATGTCCGCCTCTCTGCCTTCGTCGATCCTCTTTGTCACTTCTTCAAAAAACTCATTAAGTTAGTGAGCCCCGATTTCCGATGCACAAAGCCATATTGACTGTCCCTAATCAGTCCTTGCCTTGCTGTTTTTGGTCTGTCTCAAAATCCTAATCTTTAGATGGATTTTCTTTCTCTTCTCTGAAGTGGTTGTGAGTTATCTATTGGTACATTTTCCCAGCTTGTATCAGTTTGTGTCCCTAGGTTAAAGCAAGCCTGCCCTCTTCCATATTGTGAAGAGTTGTTAGTGCTTTGTGCTTTTTTTTAAAAACAACTGAGATCGAATCTTTACCTCAGATCAGGCACACATTGAAATTGTTGAGTGCTCTTTCTCGGCT